CCTTAATGATTCTGTGATTCTGTGCTTTATATTAGCGTGAAAATTCTCTGGCCACTGTTTTTTGTGGCATACATGTCTGATTTCTGTACTATTTTGTCCTGCATGATCTCTGTTTTAAGGGTCAAGTGATATGCTTCAGTACACGTTACTTAGTACTATTTTGTAAACAGATATGTTTTACACTTAGTGGATTATTTGGAGTATTTCCGTTAAATAGATAAATATCATATATTTGTTATGTGATTGTTTTTTCCCTATTTTCCCTGCACATTATTCTTCTGTTTTTTTCTTAATTTCTCTTTTTCATATTGCCAAATTTTAATTCTGCTATTTTTGTGCAGACTTGGTTTGTTTCCTTCCTGCATCTTTTACACCCTAATTTTCCTTATCTCAGATACTTGACTGACTTTGATGGAGTAGTAGTAGGGATAAGTATAAAATTTAACTGTCAAGGATGATGATTCATATCTATGCCACTCTTGGACAGATGAGCATATTGGTTGTTGCTTTTTGCCTTTACGTAGCTACATATATCTGGATGTTGAAAGCGAAGAGGGTGATAATTCAACTCCACTTTTTGTCTCTAGCCCTGAAATCCAAGGGTTTTAAAACTTTTCAGTTTTGCTCAATGGTGAGGGTCTATTTCAACTGGGCTTGCAAATAAGAAAATAATAATAACTTGTTGCCACAGATATACTGTATCCATAACATCTTCATAATTGCTTTCGCATAGTTCTCAAGTTTTCAAAAATGAATGTGGAATAAACACTGTTATAGCTGCTCCCATTCCAACAGCCACAGCCACCATTTTTAGTAGTTTGAACTGTCCTCACAGTTTAGAGACTGCATTTGGGCTATGTTAGCACCAGCGTACAGCGTTTCAAGTAATGTGTTCGTAACTACCAGAGGTCTTGTTTGCCAGACTCATAGTTGAACACTTTCTTACGTGAGGTTTTGTTAAGGCAGCTGATGAGACTCTTGCAGAAATGCATGTGGTGGTGGTGGTTGTGTTTTTTAAATCTGTGAGAGAGAATCTTAAAACCACAGGATAGCCAGTCCTCAAAGCCAGTCACTGAGCAGGCTTAGAGTAGCTGTTTGTGAAAAGCTCTTTGAGGTGCTGGCATGTAAGACCAGGGCATATGCCTGTGAGTGCTGCGTTTAATTCCATTGAGCATCTACTGAACCACACCCTTCAATGTACACAGATTTGCAAGGAATTCGTTCCGTTCCCTTTCAAGGTACCCAGATCTGATCTGGATCCTAAATCAAGCTAAAATGTCCTACTCACTACCTTGAAGTAGCATGCCCGAGGTACAGGCTCAATCTGCTTGACTGGATACCAGCAAAGTATGATAGTACAGTGATCGTATGCCTGAACTGAAGCTAACTCGCAGCTTTGTGTGCAGATAGCTTGCACTTGCATTGTCGGTGTAGCTTGAGATTAGATTCCTTCACAGACAGTTGTATTAAAAGTTCCTAAGGCAATTATTGTCCTGTTAACTGCCAGAGAGAGGTAGCTCTCTTGTGGGAGAAGGGACCTTAGCCATGTAAGTATGCTTTGGATATCTACCATCCTTGTTATAAAAGAAGCCATAAGTTAGTGAACCAAAATAAATTTCAAGAAGGTATTCTAGTTTCATCCTCCGTTGGGGCAGACGGAATTTGGTCTTTTCATCAGACTGTTGGTCTTTAAATAGGTTTCGCCTCACTATTGGGAAGACTTTCTTGAAAATAGTTTGCCCCACAAGAGGGCATTGTAGCATCAGAACTAAGCTGCTGAATGCTTTCGGCCGTGCATACTGCTAGGTAGAGCTGACTGACTTTTGGCAATGGTAGCAAGATACGTTTCTCATGTCACCCCTTCAGTTAAGAAGGGGTGACATTAAAATGTCAGCGTTTCTGATAAAGCACAAAAATAATGTAGGAATGTAAAGACCTCTGGGCATTTCCTTTAGTATGAATTATTTGGTAGATGGTGATGATGAGTTGAAAAAATATGTGTACACACACCTGTACGCCCATATTTATATAGATATATGTATAAAGTGTAAGGATGTGTATGTATGAATTTATAAAGTATAACTCTAGACCTATATAAAAGTGTCTCCTAAAGGAGGAATGAATTTTTAATAAATTGGAATATTCATGGTGATTTTGTAAGTTTAGGGTAGAATTTTTGTCAGCCTTAGTCATGTCTCTGTTTCGGATGGGATGGAAACTTTTCAGCATTAACAATATAGTTGTGATTTCAGGAAATTCTCTCAAAATGTTGCAGGTCTGAATTTAGAATTCTCCCTCATCTGACCCTTTACAGAGTAGATACCGATTTATGTTACCAAAAAAAAAAAGTGTTGGTTAAAGGTTCTTTTTAAGTATTGCTAAAGAGTGAATGTGTTTGGAGAATGCTTTGCATATTGCTGAAAAATGAAGCATATAAAGACCTTCAGCAAATACCCTGATTCTTAAGCATAAACGTGTTTCATTGACTAATGCATTTCACTATTGCTAAAAAGACAAGTTGAAAGAAATATCAAAATGATTTTGTGTTTGTATCAGATTGCATGATATCATTCAATAGTATGTATCAGTTCCAAAAAACATGTTGCTTTTTAAATGGTAATTGCAATCTTCATCTACATGCTGAAAATGAACTGACTTTTAAGAAGAAGTTTCAGTATAACAGTACTAGGCTGTTTGTCAAGTAAAAAGAAAAAAAAAAGTTAAAATCTCCCAAATCCGAACACTAGAAACTTTGTTGTAATACCCAGGATTTATATTGATTTGATTCAAACTAGAACAAAAATAACAGTATGCTGTACAACAAAGCCACTTTTTTTCGTACATGCTTTAGTGATTATATATTTTGAAACAAAATTACTAGTTAAATACATTCAATGTCTACTTTTTAAGAAAAACTGATGTCAAAGCTCTATTAACAACTATCTTCCTTTTATGTTTAAGCAACATGATTTAGTGGCAATTACCCTTTGAAAATTGATACCATCATTTGTCAGAAGTTCAGTTTAAAAATATATTTTCAATTCATTTTCTCTTAAATGTCTTTCCCTCCATGTCTTTTTGTATGCTCCAGATGCACAAATACCAAACAATTGCATGAAAGTCCAGCATGAATTGTTAACAGTCTTTTCCCCTCTCTTTCTACTGTTCATTTTCATCCACGTATTTTTTGTTTGCCATCACTTTTTTTAATACTTCATGTTAAATTAATTTGAAAACATCCTAAGCTGTGCGACCTCTGCGAGTAGTAACAGCGGATACCTGTCTGTTTCACTATTTAGTCCCTCCTCCTACCTCTCCGTCTTCCAAATCTGTGAGTACACCAAGTGAGGCTGGAAGCCAGGACTCTGGTGATGGCGCTGTTGGATCTAGGTATGTCGCTTTTCTTGTCATATTCCTTTGCTTAATACTTGTATTCTAAACAATTAAGCTTTAGAAGAAATGAAGGTTAATTACTTGATTATAATATAATATGTGGTTACAGTGTTATTGAATTGGTGAACAATGACTGTTTTACAAAAGTACTTTAAAATTGGAAATGCAACTATACTTTCTAATTTGGAATTGCCAACATTAATGTGGAGTTGTTTAAACTTGCAAGTTTAAAGCAAAATGAGTCTGAATGTCTTGTGGTAACGTTCTTGTAAGCATGAATGCCTCGGGACAAGAGAAAACTGGGAAAGTCCAACTTCTGGGCTCTTCCCAGCTTTTTCTAAGGGAGGATATGTATGGATGATAGACTATTTCCGTTTTCCCTCTATTTTAGTTTTTCTAATAAAAGATACTGTCTACAGACTTTGTCTTGCTTCTGATTTTTTTTTTCTTTACTCAGAAGAATATTTCATGTTATTTCACTTTGCAGCCGTCCCTGTACACAACTATACTGCTCATAATCGCTCTCATTTGGCCAAATCATAGCACCATGTTAGTACAGCCACAGTTGTGGTTTTTTCAGTTCCAGTTCTTGCCACATCTATGCAGCCATTTTTTTTTCTGCATCACAGTTTGAGAAACGCTGCTCTAAAGAGAGTCAGGTGAATATTTCTGTTAAACTAGGAATTCAAAGTGGCAGTATATGGGTGATAAGGTAGGAAACACTACTTCCAAAAGGTATTTCTACTGTTTCCCGTGCACAGTCTGTGAATAGGAGCAGAATTTGCCTAATTAATTTTGGTAACTTATATTTTCTCAGCAAATTAAATTCATGTACTTAAAATTTACTTAGTATGCATTGTGGATGAAGTTTAGTTAAAGCATGGTTACTTAAAGCAGTTATCAGTTACTTTTCTGCTTATATGAGTAGTTGTTTTGAAGAAAGAGTGAATACTTACACTGCTTTGAAACATCTTTTTAAAAGAATGCAGTAATGTCATGTGTGTGTATTATGCATACATAACTCTATACAATCTTAATCTGAAAATATTCAATATTTTAATGACCTAAAGAAAGGTTACAAGGTGTCTATTTCTAAGTAGCAACCACTAAATTAAAACAAATACATCAGTTAGCAGATATGAACCTGAACTCTCTTTTTTTAAAAGTGCCCAGGTATGATCTTGTGCATAGCTTATTCACTATGCAATGGACGTTCACCTGTCATGTTAATAAAGAATGGATAGAAGTGTTCCTTAACTAAGTAAGAAGGAAATTTTAAATTACTTGAAATCTTTGATTATTGCTTATTAAATTGTCATTTTATATTCAAATTTATTGTCTAGAAGAAAAAACAAGAATTATTTGATGATTACTTTTTTAAAAAAATAATTCCTTTCCATGTATACCTAATTTAAATTCAGTATGGAACAGTATGTATAGGCCACATATCTGTAACTGCATGCCATGTTGTATACTGAATTTATCTCCACCTCATAGGTGTACTGTGCTCTCTGATTTTATGTTCCTTGGACATAGTACCATAATGTTGTATGCATACATTTTCTTATGAAGCCTTGAGAAAACCCTATCCTAAGCCTCTATAGCTTCATGCATTTGCACACTTTAAATCTGTCTCTTGACAATTTCCCAGACGTGGAAGCATAAAGAGACGGTGGTCTTGAAGGTATGGAGGTATGAATGTATAGCTAAATTGAAGGGTTTATAGAGTCACTGTTAGAGTTCCCTTGCTTATTTTCCGACCACCAGATAACATTCTTCCTCTGCCCAGCAAACAGTTGTCTGTATTCTAGTATACAAGTTTGTACAGCATTCCTAATGTACATATGCACTTGAACCTGAAAGTTAGTGGGAAAAGTTGGACTGTGTGATATCCCTTAGCATTATACCTGGCATTTCACAGGTGACTTTCATCTCAATGTGAGATGTGTTAGAAAGCCCAAGTTGTTCCACTATGCTTGATAACCTTAAAACAAACCCTTTCATATTAGTGTATTATTTCAGTTCTTGGTGTTTTGGTCTGTGGCCATTTGTTCTCTGGTTATGCTGCAACTATACTTTACAAAGATGAGCTCCTTTTTTAGTTCAGTCTTTTCTCCTCCATAATGCTGAATCTTGCTGTAACTTTGGTTATTTAGTAAACAGTAGAGCAGTGTTTGGACTGTGTTCCTGCTGTTACTTCCATCTGTCTTTATTTTCATCAGTACAGAGTTTTGGTTCCCAGTTTGATACTGTTCTTTCTCTCTTCCTCAGTTAAGAGTAAAAATTCAAGACTGGAAAGTAATGTAGTTGGTTTACTTTTATGTTAGATGGATGCTTCATAGAATTAGTTTAAATGCAGAAAATACTTTTTAGAGGTATAGGAAGCTTTAGGAATATGCCTGGATACAGAGCAGTTTGGGCTTATGTGGAGGAATAGGAACTTCTGTTCACTGAAGCTTGTAGATAAATTCATTTAACTTAAACATCTGGAAAGCAAAAGGAACAGTATTTTCCATCATTTTGGTACACATATAATAGGTGAATTTTATCTTGGAATGTTACCTTTATTTTAAAGGAATGTCTGTGAGAAAGATTTAACTATATATCCTGTACTGTGTGTTGGCTTGAACTGTTTTAGAAGGCAGGCTATCCCTGGTACCACTGAAGCGACTGCTGAAAGTTAAAAGAATGCTTTGAAAGCAGGAAAGCAACCTCAGTAAGGGCTAGATCTTAAGCAGGCACAAAAGTTGGAGCCTTTAAATTTGTAGCCCTTTCCCTAAGTTCCTCTCAAGTGGTATTGAAAAAGTTGAGAAAATGTTTGACAAATATTGTGGTAATGCAGCATTTGGGTCTGTAAACAAGTCATCCTTTACAGAAGCAGCATAAAGATTGGGGTGGTGGGGTGGAGGTTTGATTTAGCTTTTTTTTTTAATGCATGATTAAACAACATACGGGCAATCCGGCTTGAAGTCTCACACACCAAATGAAACTCTAAGCCTAGATCGATCTATTTGGTCAAGAAAAGTAGCAGAGACCTAAAGAATAAGTGTACTCAAAGTAATTAACTTCATGGTAAAATGGTGTGTTTTCTGATGCACAAAAGATACAGAAAGGTTTTAGAGATGTAGGTATTAAGCTATTGCTGTGGATGCAATAGCAGGTATGTAGAATGATTTGGTAAATATGAAGACAGTGGATTTATAATTATTAATTAAACTATAATTAAATGTTCTTCTAACGCATAGTTCCTACAAGAACAAGGTCGTGCATGACACACACACACACCATATTTGAGTTTTTATGGCATTGCCTGTACATTTTTGAGATCAGCTTTACCTTTAGGAATTCTGCACCTGATTTATAAGAACTTTACCATTTACGGGATGGTCACCTTGTATTGAGTTATCATAGTAAAATATTACATATTCTTTTTTTTTAAATTTGCTAAAAAGCATATAAGAACTTCAGAAAAACCATGCGTGTTCATCTGTTAATGTCTCTTATATGCTTGTTTTAAAATTCTGCCTAAGCCTGATAGCAGGCAGTAGACTAAATGGAAGTTTGTAGAGAAGGGATGCAGGCAAATATGAAGTGAGAGGGAAAAGTTACTTCCCCCTGCATACTTCTTCTGATACAAAACTGACTTGAAGTGGATGTCTTCTGTTCATTATTCCATATGACTTTGAAATGTGTTATTAATATAAAGCCCACTATTTCTAAGAGATTTAAGTATCTTAAATGGAGTTGGCTCTAAATCAAATGACACTTATAAGCCCAAGGCAGTGCTTAACCCATAATTACTGCAATGTCACATCTTGGAAACTCTAGCAGTTCTCTATCCCAGTGGAAATGCATTTTTGCCCCTCTACCAAAAGGCTTGTGTGTTGACTCATTTCCTTTACCAATATGACAGTTTCCTCCACATATTTACTGCTTTGGGCAAGATTTCATTACATTAACAAATCTGTCTTCATAGGACATGAGCAAATCTGAACAGATATTGAAAGGAATTTGAAGTTTTTAATGATTCTTCTCAGCATTTAAAATATTTCTATTTGCCTCTCATAAAGGCTATGTTTGTTTGCAGATCTTTAACTTTCAATCTTTAAAATAATTTAATTCCTTTCTAATAGCTCTGAATTCTGTGTTGGCTTTTTAACTTTTGTATTTACTGCATGTATTATTGCACAGAATGTTTGCTAAATTTCCCTTAACTGATGTTACATTGCTTTGTTTCTTGTGAACAATGAAACAACTATAAGCTTACTGTAACTCTAGCATTTCATAGTGTGTATTTGCTTCACTAATCTCTGGCCTTTTTTGCTAATGCTGCATGATTGTTCAACCTGGGGTATCAGGACGCTGCATTGGGATACTGATCCATCAGTTCTTCAGCTCCACTCTGATTCCGATCTGGGGTATTGCATAGATTTCTTATATTCCCTCTTTCATGTACTTCTGGATAATAAGTATAAGAGCTTATTTTTTGATTAAGACTTCAAGTTGTTCTTAAGAGACTATTCTGTAAGTAGCAGAAATTTGCTATCCAAAGACTTAGTGCAGTTTGCATGCAATGGGAAATTTTTATATTATTTAATATACACAAGATGCATATTTCTAATAACAAAACCTACTTATTCATGTTTTTCTTTGAGTCTCTCTTTGGCAAAATGTAACTTTAAAAAGTAATTTATTAAAAATAAAAAGCTTAGACTAACTGTATTTAAAAACAAGAGTGACTCCAATCTTTTCATATAAATATGTTTATAAAATCTGTATCTCATTATAAGCACTTACTAAAACCCATATCGTACAATAAGAATTATGTTTCTGCCCACCAAAACCTTTCAAAAGGGGTTACTTTTTTTGTTTTGTTTTGTTTTTATCTTAGGAGGGCAGGGATAATAAGAAACTAAGTTTGATATAGGTAAATTGTTGTTGCATCATTGCAGTATTACTACAGTACATACTGAAACTATCTTTTATAGGAAGTTACAATGACTGAATTAGTGTGTGGTTTTTGGAAGTACATTATGCATTGTAGTTTGATACTAGCTATATCTGCGTTTATGGGATCTTCCATAAGCTGAGTCAGAAAGCTCAGAGGTTTTCAGTATCATATTCCAGAGTAATGTATTATGGATAAATCACTTGTCAGTGAGTTTCAGGTTAGACTTGCGGTTCTGCATTCTAAATAGTATCTTAGAGGCAGACAAAAAAGGGCAGCAAAGTTAAAAGGGCTAGGAAATGCTTTTTCCTTCAGAATAACTAAGCTGTTCTTTAAGCTTTAAAATCCTAGAACCATTGCTGTACAAACATGACTCTTGTGAGCAGATATGTTCCACTGAAAATAGGGATATGTCATATATGTAGCAGTAACCTAGTCAACCCCAAAGAGCAAAACTTTAAAATTATATCTTATAATCCATATATATATTTGCACATCTTTCTTTTTTTGTTGCAGATATATAAATAGTTGCTGATTTTAAATAATAATTATAATAAAATATTATTCATAGTCATGTGACTTCTTCAGGGTTAAGTTTCCACTGGATTTAAATTTGACTAAGCAGTGTTGTGACATGATGACTTGGCTATTATAGGCAAAACGTGATGTAATTCATAAAATTAAATATTTTTTCTCATTTCTCTACTAATTTTATTTAGACGTGGACCTCTTAAACTTGGAATGGCCAAAATTACACAAGTTGACTTTCCTCCTCGAGAAATTGTTACATATACAAAGGAGACGCAAACACCTGTTATGACTCAGCCAAAGGAAGGTGAATGGTTAACTTGTTACTACCTAGGTTATTTTTCTTTTCTTTTATTGTAATAATTATGACTGACTGAATTAGAACCAGCACTTATGATCTTGAAACTTAATAAGGTAGAATGAAGGTTCATCTCTGAGATAATAGAATTTATATCAATTATTAAATTCATATATGTTTTGCTTAAGAGTGTTACTGTCCTGTGCATTTTTTTCAACATCACTGTTACTACTAATACATGGTGTTTTCTCACTCATAGCAAATGTTCAGATTAGACGCAGAGTTGCTTAATTAGCTGACAATGGATAAATACAAGTGGGATATATCTTGCATTTATGACATATATAGGAATCCACACACAACTTACTTGAAGGCTGTCTATCCTTACAAGAAACTTGGCAATTGAACACCCCAGCGTTTTAAGAATTTGAAATTTTTATACCTGGAGCTTATACATTGAGTTTAAAAAAGGAACTAATTTCTTTATTAACCCGTGCAGTTTCTGTTCTCAGCAATTGAACATATGCTTTCATTCAGTCATGACTTGTTTACTTTTCACAAGAAAACATAATTGGCTAATAAATTTGTTTTTCGATGTTGAAACACTTGAATTTAGCTGCAAATGAAAATACTAATCTTGACCTAGTTTGTATGTAGTTCCACAACAAAATCTCTTAGTTGTTTAATATGACTGACTTTGAGTATGTGTCTTTGCTAGCAATTTTAGGACCTAATTCTACATTCATAATTTTGCATTTTCCTGCTCTTTGGTATGTGAACTTTTGAGTGTTTATGCAAGGAGAGAAAAGCACTTTTTTTAAAACATGAAGAGAGCACTCAGCTGAAATCTTATACTGGTATTTCCAGAAGCTGTATAACTTACCTGAAAGTGCAATACAGATGATACAGAGTGTAAAGCGTAATAAGAGTGATGCAGAATTGTTGTTATTGGTCCAGTCTATGTCAATATGCTGCTGTTTTCTGGAGTGTGTCTTGAAGTCACTTTGGCAAGTTTAACTAGAGTCAAATGACACTGAATGAGTTGAAGATGGGGGGAAGAGGGGGAGAAAAGAAAGGGAGGAAATTGCAACAATACTTTGTGTTGAGAAGTTTTTTCCCGTCTTATCTCTGGGTATCCAATATAAGGGATCGGTGTGTCTTCAGAACACAAACCAGATCTTTCAAACTTCATTATTCAGTGAGCCAGAATAACAGAGGATATGCTTTTTCTCTAACTGCGTTTCTCTTCCAGTCTTCATTTTATCTGCATCCCTGCACAGATAGGCGTTTTGGGTTTTCCTGCTTTCATTTCTCCCAATGTCCTTACCATTTCCTTTCTCTAATCTTTCAGGTTTTTCTCCTCCCCTATGTCAGGTTCATGGAATCTGAAGACTCAGTTCATAGTTGTGTGCTTGGAGAATTTTACTTCTGCTGCCTGCTGTCAGTGGGAATTGCTTGGGATTGTATGATCTTAGTTTCCACGCTTAGTGGATAGGCTGTACTGGGGTTTAACTGTAGTGGAGCTGGAAATATGGGTCATCTGTATTTCTGTGTTTACCAGAAAGCTCTCTCAGTACAGATGTTGTCTCCTGATCCATTCCACCTTAAAAATAATACTTTTTTCTTGAGGGCAATCATCATTATTTTGTGTATGTGTAATTCACAGAAGTCACTTACAGATGCTTTTTCATCATTTCAGTGTCAAGAATCTTTTTAAGGTCTGTCTTAAGACTGCCTAAATACATTCATAATTAAGCTCTGTGTTCCAAATTTATGATAACATCTGAAATAGGACATGAGTGTTAAAAAAACAACAACAACAAAAAAAAAAAAACCAAACCCCAAAAACCCCATACTGCCTCCAAAAAAGAGAGTCACTAGGTGACAAATTTTGATTACGGGAAGAAAATTTTGAAGTCTTTAAAACAATTTACAAGAGCAATATGCTGAATTTTGAGAGTGCAATTGGATAAATTAAAATTAGATACATTCCATCTCATTGATTCTTGGTTCTTCTCACAGTCTGAGGGTTTGTGTGGGAGTTTTTTTTTTATTATTTTAGTGAGTATACTGTATAAAATAAACATAATCTTACAAAGTACCCTTGAAAGTTGAGCTTGCAACTGAATTTACACATACAAGTAATCTTCACCAGCTCCTTTGTACAGCAAAAAGTTGCATCTCAGTTAGGTTAGCTCCAGTGTTCACACTTTCTTATAAAAAGTGGACCGGACCTTTCTTAATTATCATATCTTGAGGTTTTAAAATGCTGTCAGAGCTATGCTTTTGACCAAAGGAAAATAGAAGCAGTTTTATTAGATCTGCTATGGAATCATTCTGCAAGTTTAGGTCCACTTGTGCTGTAGGTTGAATTGTGCTAACAATTGGGGGGAGGGGGGGGCAACAAAAAACACAACAAGAACAACAAAACCCCAAAGCAAACAAACAAACCAGAAAAAAACCCTAAAAAAACAGTTCCACTTCTTTGTGCCACAATGGTTATGTGGTTATGTCAGTTACCTGAATTGGGAAACATTCAGGCTACACCTGATCTGCCTGGTGGGACAGATAAGAAGTACAGGGAAACTGGTGTTAAGCTAAAACAGTTCCTAATTGTGATGGAAATATTTATGAGAACACAAAAGAAATGACAGTTACATAGGGGAGTTTTCATGTCCTCAACTTGAAGTTGGCCTCTGGGGTTGCCTGTTTCGGATTCAGTGTAACAAGTAGTTAAATAATGAGTACCTTTCACCTAAACAGTGCCCGTTTTAAAATGCAGATGTCACTCATCTTGGAAGTTGATGGAGAAGACTGTGTTCAGTAGTTGAGGAATCCAAAACAGGAAAATTCCATAGAGAAGGGAGGTAGATTAAGTTATGTGTTCATGCATCTGAAAAGTGCTGTCATGTTGCACAATCCTAGACAATATTAAAATATGAAGTAACTGTCCCAGCCACTGTCTTGCAGATATGAGGCTTCTCAGCTGCAGCTGTTTTCAGCCAGTGATCCTCTCCACTTGTAATGAAAGAATGACAAGTTTGCATGCAGCCCGAGGAGCTAGAGCTAGAATGTGACCTCAGTGCTAGTAGCCCTATAGCCTCTTTATGCTAAGACAAGAAGTATCACTGCTGGAATTATGACTTTTCCACATTTTTCACCTCCATCCCTTTGAAGTGTTGCATCCAAAATAGTAGATAGCTTTGTCTTTCTCTTGTACAATGCTTAGCTCTTAATTTTGAAACATGACAGCTTGCTTAGGAGATGGAGGCATTTAGTGTGCTAACAGTTCTCACAACTTCCGTTATTTTATTGCAGTAATAATATCTTGATTTATTATAACCTTGAAGTATTTGAAAAACTGCCTGGTTTAGGAAGATTGATTCTTTTTATAAAACTGTAAAACAATCTGTCCTAGAAATCAGTTTCACTCTGCAATTAGAGATGGAGTCATCTTCAGAGCACGAAGTGTTTTGCCACAGGAAGTCATTCACTATATTCTGAACAGTATGGCGTATTAAATTTCCCTGTTAATTGAACTTAAACAAGTTTCACAGTCCTTATAGGAAGATGTCCACATCCAAAGTAGACTTAGAAAGTAAATCTGTAATACTTGTTTTATGGGCTTTTCATATGATGGGTGCAACCCACAGCTGCTCTTTCCTCAAGATCCTGTGTATACAAGTAAGTGACTAAGGATGTAGAAGAAGAGAAGCACATTAAGAAATGGTGTCAGGGTGGTGGTTGGTGCTCTCAAACCTCTTGCTTTGATGAAAATATTGACACATGTCTGTCCTCAGTACTTCTTTCTGCCCCCCCGCTCCCCCCTTGTGTTTTTTCTCCAGAATTTTCAATAGCCTTAGTCTTCTAACCCTGCTGTTTCTGGAGCAGCTGTATTATGTAAAAGAAATGAAATTAAGTAATTAAATGGTTCATTGTTCTGAGGACTATAGCAGGGAAAATACAACTTCTTTTTTCCCTTGTTCTCTTGGCGTGGCCTGTTCCTGTTTTTTGGGGTTGTTGTCATTCTGTGATACAGTAATGCTAGCTATCTTTTTTGTTTATGGACCAAATAAATCTATTTTGGCTTGAAGTTTTGTGCCATACTTGGTGCTGTTCTCCCTTATTTTGTAAACTAATAAGCCTATACATCTAGGTCTCTATGCCGTTACTGCACTTTAATAACTCTTGTCATCATCATAACATGAACATCCTGTGTTTAGGCTGCTCCATTCCCCAGCATTCTTGCTCTGACATCCCCTTTTCTACTATCTAAATCCATTTGTCATTTCCCACGATGCTGTGTATAACACTGCTGCCTGCTTCCCTCATTGTCCAATGTTGGTGGACATGGTTTTTTAGTTAGTGCGGTCAGCTGGTTATTTAGCCTCTATTTTTGGCTTGCTCTATCAGGCAGCAAATTTTCAGATCTACTCACTGAAAATACATTTGAAATTGTGTTCCCTTCACACACTCATTTCTCTCTAGCAGGTGGCAGAAGCAGTTTCAGCAACAGAGATGCAATTCACATGTGAACTCTGGTATATGTCTTAGTGTTCTGCAGGCTCCATATTAGCCACCAGCAGAGTACTGTAATCATTGGTGCTAAATTTTTTTTTTTCTTTATCTGTACTTCCAGCTACACTGCTCTCTGCTCTACTGTTTGATCTCTTCCTTTGTGATTTGTTAACATATTGTTCAAATTTGCATGGAAAGAAATTGGTCACCAGTATGCCCAATAAATATGTGTTAGGAGTCCTTGAAGTAGTTAATCCAAAGATAGACATAGGGGAATATGATTCTGCTCAGCTGTCATAATCAAGGCTTTCTTGGGCTAACAGGATACTTCTTATTTAGTGCTACTGTACAATATTGTGCATGTGCCATCACAACTAACTGCAGATAGTATTATTGCATTAGCTCCACTCTTTGAGGAATTACTGCCTGGCAGTCTCCAAGAGACAGAATGTAAATATGAAGCGTTTTTGTCCCTTTTAATTCTTACTTAAGCAGAGTAACAATGATTTGGTGTATGGGATTGGCTTCTTTGATGCTTTTACAGTGAATATAGCATTTTTACATTTTAATATTTTAAAGAGAAATAATGGACCCTTATATTAATGTATTATTCTGTACATGCCTTAAATGTACAATGAAATATAGATGGGGAAACTTGATATGAAGACATTCAGCTTAACAAAAGCCACTCATTTCACAGATGATTTAACTTTGATTAACCTACTCTGCAGCAACAGATTACTCAGACAACGGGAACTTCTATAGAGTTATTGCTAGGTGCAGCCTAATTTACAGCACTGCTTTTCTTGTTGTCTTGCCAAAATAAATCACAATTTTTATGTTAACTCAAAGTAAAAATTCAGTGGTTCATTAAACCTGTTTTTAGCCTTCACTGACAAGAAATTTGTCACTATTAAAGTAGCAGCTATTTTTATGCAGTCTTTACTGCTCTGTTTGTAACCTTAGATTCCCTATTCACCTGTCAGAAATAACATGGAGTTAATCCCTTAGCATATTATAATGAATATTCATCAGTATGTTGATGTGACAGAGTCCCATTTCCTGTCTTCGTGGCCCTACAACTTCTCTAAGTCTTAGCAGGCTTTTTTAAAATGTGAAATTGTATTTGGTATACTGACAATTGAAGTGGCATAAAATGCCGGTAGGTACAATCAATAATGAATAAGATGAAGTTAGACAGTGCCTTTTAAGGTTTCCAAATTCATGTAGCTGACTTGAAATAAAAGCACTACACCACTGTATCGTGGGTTCTTGACTTACTAGATGTGGAACTTTTTCAGCAATAGTATGTCCAATCTTTCAGTGTTTGCTGGGTAATATATTGTTATGCCAATTCCTTCGAAATACTAGCACCTGTGGTATTATTAAATATACAAAGTATATATATTAAATATATCTATATATTAAATAAAGTCGAGAGACAGGTAAAGTAATTTAAAAAAAAATTTCCTATTTCTTTTGTTGTCCAGCAGCTTCATGCTGCCTGTTTTGATTGTAAACTTCTGGTTTGGATAATGAGGTCAAGAACTTGTACATATGGGGTTTTTTTGGTTTGTGTTGTGGGTTTTTTGTGGTTTTTTTTTTTTTTCTCCAGACACCTTAATGAGAAAGTTTGCATATGACCTTTCTTTAGAGAGAAGTTTTTAGATTTATGTAGTTACAGATAAATCACAGTGAGATGACATGTTCAATTTCAAGTCTGATACTTTGAGAATATTAAAATAAGTGCTGTATCCTGCATTTAAATGTAGTAATATCAGCTGGCTGTATGCAGTGAAAGTACTATGAAGGAATTTAGATCTCTGTATAATATATGCCATTTATGTTTCAAACATTAAAAGGCAGGAGCAATCAACTATATGATCTTTTGAATAAAATATGTAGATTAGAAGGTCACTTAGCACTAAGGGGTTGACCGTCTGCATTTGACAAGAATTTGACTCCTGTCGCTGAAAATGGTACTTGGAATCAGTGTAGTATGACTAATGGGGGGGTTGGGCTGAAATTTCTAATTTGGGACTTTCAAAGCTAGAATAATGTATCCAGGGTGACCCAAAACCAAATTTCTGAATTTGAAGGTATCATTTAAATCTGCAAGACTGATTGGCAGGGCAAACGAGGGGGATTTTTATCCAAGAGGCTGTAATGTGACTATATGGTCCTGTATTTGTTGTTCTCAAAATCATGTGTGTTAACTCATATTACATTTTTTAATTAATCACTGTTCACACCTATAGTGATTTGACATTAAGAATTAGATTCTTTAGAATTGCTACAAGTTATACAGTTTTCAGCTTACTAGTCTGCTGTAACATGTGAATCCATCTAAAAAGGAGCAGTGTCTTTCTGTTTCTCTGCGTGATTATTTTGCCCAAAAAAGCTTTCATTTTTTTTAAGTAGCACAAAAGCTGTAATTGGCATGCTTTGTAAGGAAGTGTCAATGTGCAAGAGAGTGGAGATCACTAAGAATTCTTTTACGCGTTCTTTCCCCTTTGCACCACCGCCTCCTCAGCAGGGTCACTGAGATCACTAGCTTTTCTTGAAATGGCCATTTTCACTGGCAGGTGCATTATACCCTGTATTTTCAGATTGTTTTTCCATTCTGAATGTTTGGCAGGTTGATTGCTCTGGCTGCATTGACGGAGAAAGGGCTGACAAATGCGGTTGGGCTGGCTGAAAAGACAGTGATTACTGTTTTCCTTTGTGGCTGATTGAGGCCCTTGAAAGGAAAGATTTTAACCTTCACCATTTGGTTCAAAAGTATGAGCATATATTGAAATCATTCATGCCATTTATCGTAGTTCTGTAAACTTGTCAGAACGTAAAAATCGCTCAATTTCGAGTAATGTAGGATTGGCATACGTCATTATCATTTTGATTAAGTTGGAGTTTGTATTATTGTGTGCATTATACAGTGTCATTTAAAGCTTTCTTTCCTGCAGGTACAGTTATATTTATATTGCCTATACTATGGAGTTAGAAAGATTTTCAGACCTCTTTAAACCTATCACTATGTGTGTGGTTTGGCAGCTGGTATGGCCTACAAGCTGTATTTTGTTTGCAGGGTAAAGGCTTGTCTGTAGACCTCCTGGAGTGCTGGTAATTGCACAGGCTTGCCATTGGGGAAAGACATGATTGGAAGCAGTCAGGCAGAAAAATGTTGTGCCATCCCATTGCCACCTCATAGCAGAGAGACAATCCTAGCAGTACCATCTGGTTGTTGCTACCTAGTCAGCTGGCCTGGCTGCTGGGACCGTGGCTTGGCAGCTGGTTCCCATCCCTTGACCACCCTTTCCCCCACCCTTTTTTGTTATGTGTGTGCATGTGGATTTTTTTTTTTTTTACTTTTTTTGTTGTTGTTGTTAGATAACTTTGAACATGGGTCACGGAGATGGCTGCAACAAACAAGCCTAGCCCCTGTTGAATACTGTCTCCTTACTTGTGATGAGGCATGCAGCAGACTCCTGCTGCCATTCCCTTATAAACAGATGACATAGCTGTTTAACCAATAAAAATAGTCTTTTCAGAAACTTATTATAGAAAATGGATGAAGAAAGCCCAGGAAATGCATATTCCACAACACTAAGTAATTTATAGTTATTTTCTGGTTTACAGTATTCAAAGAATAAAATGTAGAAATGCAGAAAGTGCTGTAAACCTTGTCAGTATTCCCAAACATTAACATTTTATGTTATTCATTACAATTAGGGAAAACATTTTGCTGTAAAGTTCTCATTGCCAAACATGATACAGATGATGAGACTTGCATTTAGAAAGACAGAAAAAAATGTAATCTCCCTGCTATTATCTTTAGTAAAATTTGCCTCTCAGAATAGCAACCTGAAAGCTAATGTAAGCCATCTTCATGCCATGTGAAGACCCATTAGACTCTGATGGTTTCAGATCACAAGAAAGCAGCTGCTCTGTAGGCTATTTTAGACATTTGTTTTTTCTTTACTCTGCAGCATTAACGTGTCAGTATGTTACGCAGAACAGGCATCCACCACACGGTTTTGTATGGAATCATGAATGCTTGTAAGAGAGATTTCCACTTTGGATTCTTTACAATTTCTTATGTGTCTTATTTCAGTTTATACAACTACATAATTTAGTGCAACTAAAATTGAGGTGTAGACAGTGTTGCAATGATTTTTTGGTTTGAGATAATGTTATCCTGGGGACTACATTTTACAAATATAACCATTTTAAGCTAAGTTACACCATTTTACATCAGCTTATTTGAGATTCATATGGAATGTTATTGTTCCTCTTTAAAAGCACTGACAGTCTCACTGTAATGTTTCTCCTTAGATGAGGAAGATGAAGATGATGTGGTTGCACCAAAACCGTTAGTTGAACCTGAGGAAGAAAAAACATTAAAAAAAGAGGAGGAGGAAGAAGGTACAGGTCACCTAAAGACATCCTGAGTGTGCTGTAAAGAAAGGCATCAATAAGCTCTTAACTTCTTTTCTTTCCATTAAGTTGAAATTAGTTTGATTTACATTTTAAGAAGCAGCTAGCAAAATGTAAAATGTAAAAATGTATTTAAAATCTACAGCTGTTAGGAAACAAATTTTCCAATGTCATGGTAAATACTCTGTTCTTTCTTGGAATGAATTGGTGAAAGTATGTGGTCCAGAGGAATGTATGTATACTTCTTTTCCAGCTGCACCTCATGAACTTACAGAAGAGGAAAAACAACAGATTCTGCATTCTGAAGAATTTTTAAGTTTCTTTGACCACTCCACGAGGATTGTTGAAAGAGCCCTTTCTGAGCAAATCAACATTTTCTTTGACTACAGTGGAAGAGACTTAGAAGACAAAGAAGGGTAACGTGAATGCTGACTAGTTTACTGTGGATACGCAATATTTGTAATTGAAAAAGTGATCTAAGCTTAATATCTGCTAATTGCCTTTTATAGAGAGATTCAAGCAGGAGCAAAACTGTCCTTAAATAGGCAGTTTTTTGACGAACGTTGGTCAAAGCATCGTGTTGTCAGTTGTTTGGACTGGTCATCTCAGGTAAAAAATGATGCCTACATTAAGCAGTTATCTTTGTAAATGCTTCTACTGCTCTGCACTTGACCTATAAGTACACTTGATACAGTCTGTAGTATTTGTACACGCGTTCCTTACATGCTCCATAGTTTGCAAAAAGTAAACGGCTGTTATCTTTTGTGAAAAGTAGAAAAAAGTTTGTATTATGAAGAAAGTCTTTGGCAAATTTGCTTCTGGTTTATGGACTACTTTGTAGAGGTAACTCTTAACTTCACAAAAGAAAGCCCACTTACAAAAGTACTAGGTTTTGCATTTAAAAGCGAGTTATAATGAAAGACAGAACAAGACTCTAATGTGTATGTTAATGCTGTTTTATGAGCTAAATTTGAAACAATTACAGTTTTAACTGAAAATTCCTCATTTGTATGTAATGTAAGGTGACCTTTGTATCTTGGTGTTTGTTTGGGTTTTTTTAAACCCTGTTTGGCAAAAATAAACAAAGATTCTAGGATTGTCTGGACCATTAGCTAGTCACCTTGCTTACTTCGAGTCTTTTTCACTCACTTTACAGTACCCAGAATTACTTGTAGCCTCTTACAACAACAATGAGGATGCACCTCATGAGCCTGATGGGGTGGCCCTTGTATGGAATATGAAGTACAAGAAAACTACCCCAGAGTATGTCTTTCACTGCCAGGTATGATCTGTCTCGGGAGGCCAAAGATTTTATGTTGATGAACTTGGACAAGTACTTTCCTTATGCTGGCCAACATAATGATTTCATTGGGCTGGCATTCACTTGAACCATATGTATTTGCAAACAGATGCTGATAGGTAGAGATTTCAGTTTAGAAACATTATTCTGTTTCAGAATTTCTGGCATAATTCAGAATTCAGTGATGTTTGAGAACTCATTTTCTTATTTTAACTCATTTAAAAACCCCAAAAACTTGGATAATGGTTGAACCGCAAAGATTTGTATGTAAGGGGGTTGACTGGGGATTGTATACTCCTAGAGCTTAGTTTACTCAATAAAATGAAGATGGCCTGAGGAGATGGAGCAAGGATGAAAACAAGAAACATATGCGTCACGAAAAAGGCAGATGGAGGTTTTCTAGTAGTTTTCTGAAAGATAAAAACATGCAAATCTCTTCCATTATGCCAAGACTGAGATAGCCACTTTAGTTTCAAAATGCCATAATTCTGAAAAATTACATAGTTGAATCAAAATTTAATCTCTTGTTGTCAGATTACGGTCAAAGCCCAGATTGCAACACTAACTTTATTGTATCAAAATGGATTTGTTTGTTCTCTAAGAAAATGACCACAGAATGTGGCAAAACATTATTAAAATCTTGAGCGTTACAGGGCCTTCCCTTGCTCACAGACTATGCTAGGAGGAATATAAATGTACACATATGAAAGAAAGGAGGAGGAAAACTTCATTTTGTGAATACAAATTAAAGACTGTTAGGGGTTCACAAAGCATTTGTGAATCCTTAAGTAATTGAACAGTGAAGTAACTATGAAATAAATCTAGGTAAAGAACTTACTCGGATATTTGGTCCCATTTTCTTTAGTTTTAGACATAGTGTCATTGAATGATAATTTTTTTGTGTTTTTTCTTTTTTCCTTTCAGTCAGCAGTGATGTCAGCTACATTTGCAAAATTTCATCCCAATCTGGTGGTTGGTGGCACATACTCAGGCCAAATAGTGCTATGGGATAATCGCAGCAATAAGAGAACCCCAGTGCAGAGAACTCCACTTTCGGCTGCTGCTCACACGGTAGGGGGTGAAATATCTTCAAGGACTGTTCCCTGTTGAGATTTATTTAACCTCTAGGAAACTCTGTCCAGTGCACTTGATTGATAATGCTTAAATGTTTATGTCCAAATTTTGCCAATGCTATCACTGAGGAACTGGGCTATTCATAAAAATCAAAGTGTCAGAAAAACAAGTATCAGTTTTATAGGGGAGTATTCTTTGTACTGTAGTGTAATCAATCTTTTATGCTTTGTTAAATGGTGAAGTTGTGTATTTTACTGTATATTAATTACACCAGAATTGGTTATTACTTGGAAATTCCTTTTTCTGATAGTATTTTACATTTCTTAGCACCCAGTATACTGTGTAAATGTCGTTGGGACCCAGAATGCTCATAATTTGATTAGTATCTCAACTGATGGGAAAATATGCTCTTGGAGTCTGGACATGCTTTCCCAGCCACAGGTAAGATGACTTCAAATATACATAGTATCTATTCCAGATGAATATATTGTAAAAACTTAATTAATCTAAAAAAGCATTAATAAACATTTTCCCAACATGCAGATTCATACTTAAGGTAGCTTGATAAGTATTTGATAAAATATTTCCCCACTCATGGAATCAAATATTGTCTGTTGATCCTTTTGTATGTTTTTGTTGCACTTGTGTTAGTGGTGAACACAATTTTAACAAGAAGTAACTTTCTTATTCCTGCCCAATTCTGTACAAGTGAAATAAAAAAAAACCCAACCCAAAACCCACACTATAGAAAAATCTAAATTACTTTGGAGATATTAATATTTCTATTTTTTAAGTAAGTTGCTGATATTTTGACTACAGGATAGCATGGAGCTCGTTCACAAACAGTCCAAGGCTGTGGCTGTTACATGCATGTCCTTCCCTATTGGAGATGTCAACAACTTTGTTGTTGGCAGTGAAGAAGGTTCAGTGTACACTGCATGCCGTCATGGCAGGTAAAGAGAAACTTGAATTATTCAAAGGAAATAAGAATAGTGAAAGGATGAGTCCCTGCATGCTTTACGCTTCTAAAATTATTTATAGCTTATATATATATGTTTACTCCTTTGTCTTGAAGGAGTTCAAAATAGCTGTGTATGAATTCTGGTGCGTACTTTTTCCTCAGTAAGAGCTTCATTAGAAACAGAAGTTGGAATATTGAACTGGTACTACGCTGCCTTCAGTGACCAGGAGTTGTTTCTGTTGATGAGGGCAGCGTAGGTCACTGCAGCTTTATTAATTTGAATTGTAGCAGAACATTCCAAACTTCATATCAGTTCTATAGATAATTGTACAGTAAGATCACACCGAAATCTTAAATTTGCTGTCTTTTCTCCTGCCATTCAATCTATTTTGAAATTGTCTGACAGTATCTTATCAATTGCTTTCTTAAATATAATTGAGTGTGCAGGTTTCATCTCAAACACACATCACCCTTGCTGCACAGCTTTTTGGTTCCAAAATACCCAAAATTGTATCACTTTTGTGTAATGTCCTTCCCATCTCTTTCCCCTTTCTTTTTCATTGCTTCTGATAGGAGACTATTAGGGATATATTGTTACTGTTTTATGTCTGAACTCTGTGTATAAGGTACATGCAACTTCCCTTAAGTCAGCGGGAGTTTTATTCTCATTCCTGAGGACTGTGTTTTGTTCTTTGCATGAGTGGGAGTTTTAGCTATTGCTTGGAGAGCAATGTAGTTAAATGTGTGGACTGGTACCTGCTGAATGACTCTCTTCTCCCTGTGTTATATTTTGGCACTTAAGGTTAGCAGAAAATAGATGTTGAAGTTAAGATCCGTATTCAAGCCTGGTCTTCTGAGATCCTGTTGTGATGAAGCCTTTTGCATTGGGGCAACATCCATACAAAGCCGCAAAATCTCCTTGTGGCTATATTTAAATTGCATTTCAGGGCTGTCTCTGTCTGCAGACGTGTGGTTTCCAGATAAATTAACCTTGGTTATATATTCTAAAACAGCAAAGCTGGAATCAGTGAGATGTTTGAAGGACACCAGGGACCAATCACGGGTATCAACTGCCATGCAGCAGTTGGACCTGTAGACTTCTCACATCTTTTTGTCACCTCTTCTTTTGACTGGACAGTAAAGCTTTGGACAACTAAGGTAACTTAAATAGATAGTTCAGTGATTTTCTTCGTAGTCCTTGACACAAGGTGGTGCTATAACGTAAGCTACTTAAGAAACTTCAGCAAATTGAAGTCAAATCATGTGAAGCTCTCTAGGTTCCTAGCAGCAGTCCTACAAAAAGGAGACAGCTGACAAACAAAACTATAGTTATCAACATAAAGCTTTGGTTTCAGGTTGCACATCATTTGTATACTCCTGATCCATTCTGTTCATCCTTTTGCCCTTTGTTATCAACAATGATTACAATGTAATCAAATGTAAATCATGTTGTAAAATCAGTTACTATCATATTATGCATAAGGCAAATGTTTTGCTACAATTTTGTGGATGACTAAGGGACAGCACCAAAACTGATGTCAATTAAACTCCCTGAGGCTCACAGTTGACATTTGTGTCACTCCCATTGCCAGAACTACCTCTTTCTCTGTTAGTTTGACACCCTGAGGAACAAAAAGCAGAGGAAGCAGAGTTAGAATCTCCCAGTAATAGTCTAAAGTGCTGTCACTGAACTATCATTGGCTTGATTTACAAGATTCTTAATGCATTAAATTTACAATCTCTTACAATATTGGCTTGCTACTGATTGTTTTATAGTAGTAGCCAGCAAAAAGGCTGCATGCTTTGGAAAGCATGCCTTTCATAATAGCATTAATTTTAGGCTGCTTTTTTGCAGAGGCACTTTTTTTTTTTAAAGTAAGTCAAAACATGAATCACTTTTTAGTTATTGCTGAAAATGCTGTTGAGAAGTTCTGTACTTTGCTTTACCCATTAGCTTTACAATTTTGAAGTGTAGAGTTTGGATATTGCATTGTTATGTTTGCTTTTTTCAGAATAACAAACCTCTCTACTCCTTTGAAGACAACTCAGATTATGTTTATGATGTGATGTGGTCTCCAACTCACCCTGCCTTGTTTGCCTGTGTGGATGGGATGGGCAGGCTTGACCTGTGGAATCTCAACAATGATACTGAGGTAAGGCAGTCAGGTTAACAGTCAGATGTAGCTGGGAAAGTGTTTGTACACTTCAAAGAAAATGTCAAGAGTTTACCATAGGGTTTTGGGGTTTTTGGGTTTTTTTGTTTCTTAAATATTCTGTAGTTCTAGTAGTTTCTCCATAATATATACCATTTTTTGATTATGGGGTTGTAATTCAAATGACTCCTGGTAATGAGTAACAGTGGTAATTAAATTGTTTTACCCGTAACAAGAGTGCAAAACATCTGTTGGTGTAACACTGATCCGTGTTGTTAAAGTGATTATAGACCTCCCCCAATACGGCCTTGGCAGCCTATAGCTTAACAATATGAACAAACCTGTTACCCACACACCACCGTTGTTCCTATTGCCATAGTAATACTGCTGTGAAATCTTAATTTGTTTCTAAAACTTAGAGAATTGAATGTTTGGGTTTTCTGGTGTGAGTTATAAACTTGATTATAGTACAGACCTTTTCTGAGACTTAAACTTGTCGGAGGTAGGCGAGAGGAAAAAGCTGACAGATACTCAGTACTTAAATTTCACCTTGTTAAAACTGCGAATAGAAGAAAGAGCAGATCTGTGGGACCATATGCCAGCCTGTGGCTTCAGATTGGAATTACCCGGTTCTAGCTTTCGGACAGGATTTGACCTGCCAAAGCAGCCGATTTCATCCCTGCCCTCTGTCACAATCTTTCTTGAGATCCCAGGGCTCCTCCTTGCTGTCTGATGGAAGGCATCTCTCTGCCTCCTGCCTCATGACAAGAGGGCAGATGTGCTTTTTGGTAGAGGATGTTTGTACTTTGGCCAAGGGACAGAAGAGGTGTTGTTTTGGTCATATCACTGTTAATAGTTTAAGGCCACTGCGAGTCTTTGAGAGCTACACACTCTGCCTCAGTTGAAGAGTTGTGCACTTCTTTTGATACAACACTGAGGGACTAGGTGTATTCTGTCATCTACAGCTTATGGAATCCTCATGCATTTTTAGTAATGTGTTTTAAATGGACACAGGTGCCAACGGCAAGCATTACTGTGGAGGGCAATCCTGCTCTGAACCGTGTAAGATGGACACATTCTGGGAGAGAGATCGCTGTAGGTGATTCAGAGGGACAAATAGTTATATATGACGTGGGAGAGGTATGTATACTATGTGTTGTGCAAAGTACAGTATGAAAGAGTCAAGTTTTTTGACTTTTACTCTTAAGCAACTTGCTTTTAACTTTTTTCCCCTGTGACTAGAGGAATAAGGTTTAACTCTTATATTCAAATTAATGTCTCCTTTTTCTGTCCATGCCAGGTATTCTAGCATAAGTTTTTAGCATGCCATCTGGCAGCCAATCAAAAAGTAAAAATATTATTTTAAGGCTGGTGAAATAACATGAAAGAATCAATGGATTTGTTTGTAGAGATTTTAATTTCTTTGTAACAGTGGCACATGTGAATTCTGACCGTAGAATTTGAGAAGTACAGAACAAAACATTTTGCAGTGAAGCAGTCTTGAGTTTGTTTCTACAGGGGAGCTGTTGCTATTGCAAGTATGTGTACTCCAGTAGTACGTAACTAATTGATTGGATGAAGCCATGGCTCCCTTTGGAGCCAGTCTTTCAGATGGAGACGTATCAGCGAGCTTGTAATAGTATCACTATATACTTAAATACAGGATTCTCAAATTCTGCTTCTTATACTAGTTAGAGCTTTTGATGTTCAGAGTATTTTAAAAGTTACACTAAATAAAGGTAAGCTTTCCTATCGCAACCTCTCCTGAACATGACTTAAGCACTCTGCTGTTCAAAATGAGCTCAGTTTTTATTCATCAGTAGGTTTAAATAACATTCTCTTTGTCAACAGCAAATTGCCGTTCCTCGCAGTGATGAGTGGACTCGATTTGGTCGAACACTGGCAGAAATAAATGCGAACAGAGCTGACGCAGAAGAGGAAGCTGCAACCCGCATACCAGCGTAGATCTTTTAAAAATAGGCAGCAGTGGTAGACTTGTGAAAGATTTGATGCAAATCTTAAAAGTGTAAGCATGTGTCAGTTCAATCAATAGCTTAAGCGAGGAATATATGGATTCAACTATGGACTTTGAAAATGTATTAAGATCACTGAAAATCAGATCCTGCATTACCACTTTTTATATATAAATTACAAGCACATTCTTGGATTTGTGTAACTTTTAATACAGTTAACTTTGACTTTGCAAGGAACTACTTTTGCTGAAACACTAACCTGGTGTAAATTTGCTATTGGGCTTCTGAAATTTCCACTTTGTAACAGTATCTACTTCTGAAAAGTAGAAGTTCTGTTTCTAAACTAAACTTTCTATATTACACAGACTAACCTTCATTAGGTAGTAAATCTCTGAAGCATTCTTTAATTTGAACTTTTCAAATTACCTGTGGATATGCATGCATATGTTCCAAGTAAGTTTCATTGCTTATATATAGATAAGCCTCAGACTAGTAGTGAGTAATATATGTGAATAAAAATTTGTCTGTAGTTACAAAGTTATTTGACAATTGGACCTGAATTAATGAAATACATATTTAATACCAAGTTCTTCTGCTTGAATTGGTGCATTAAAAGTTGAGAGTGATTCATAAATAAATATTATATGAGCACTTGTCAGCTGCCCTGATCCCTAATCTGTGTTCCCTCAGTAGAAGGTTCCTAGGAGCTGCTGCTTTTACTTTACTACACACATCAGGGAGCTGTTTTCTACCCCCAACCTCCACATCCTACCATGGCAATCAGACAAAAGGAAAAAGTCTACTGTTGTCAAGTTTTCCAAATTTTGGAAAATTCCAAAATTTTGGAAAATTCCAAATTTTCCAAAGGATAAGGAACTAGATTTTGACTTAATTTCTATAGGATGATGATTTGCATTCTGTTAACTACAGACTTGCTACTGCTTTTCTGTATTAAGTTAAAACAGATGTTTTCACTGCTTTTTAACACTTTCATTGAAACAAAACCTCTCAATGGCTTAAAATAGAACGGTTGGAATTTGTGTTAAAGGTTAAATTTCTTTGAGTACATCTTTCTTAGGATACTATAAAGTTTCCCATCAAGACTGGTTTTGGGATGGGGGGGGCGGGGGGGAGGGTGTTGTTTTTTGTGGGTTTTCTGTTTTTTGGGTTTTAGGTTTTTTTTTTTTTAGTAAATATTCTGACTTGTACTAATGAGGCACTAAACCACTATTGATGCCTTTCATGTAGGACCTTGTGGGTTTGTTTCTGGTATTCTTAATCTGCTACAAGCTTATTGTATTGCCAGAAGAGCTGTTTTATATGCTTATAAGTTTTATAGGTTTATATTCCTTAATCAGCTTTATGTCCAGAAGTATTCTTATCGTTTCTTCACTGTTTGTGTTGTAAGGTTTGGGTTTTTTTTCTATTTCTCCTTGTCTCAGTTCTGTTATGAGCAGCTCATAGCAACAGGGGCAGCAGTAACAGCAGTTCTGTCTTCAAGAGTTTCTCTTTCTCAGTGGGTTTGAAAGTGAAATATATTTAGGCTTCCATTGGTCTTGGCTTGTCAAAAGTCCCCCCCTCTTTTCAATGCAAAGTCATGCTGTTCAGTTTGACATTTGCCTTGTATGTTTTCCTGAACCTTCCGACAGCAGCGATCTCTTCAGTTGAGAAATGTGAACTATATAAAGAACAGGCACATCATGTGATAATTTTTACCCTTTAGGCACAAGAAGCAGAATGTTCTGTTGTCTTGCTGGCTTTGGGGTCCTGTGGGGGTTTGTTTTTCTTGGTTTTTGGTGTTTTACTGAGATTGAAGGAAATTTATTATTAAATCATAAGTAACAGGCTCACATTTTCAGAAATCCAGTAGATAAGGCTTGCTTTCAATGGATTGTGGCATAAACATATAGGTCATATGGCATTAGTTTTATGTAACTTCAACCTTTTAATACTT